TGTTACTGAACGCCCCCCCCCCCCCCACACACACACACACACACACACACACAGCTCCCCCATATGTAATGTGTGTAAGTGTGTATTAGTGGGGTCACAGTAATAAATCCTGCATTTCTTAACAGGCGCTAAAATGCAGAGAAACAACCAGAGCTGCAGTAAATCAGCAGCAGACGACTGATGGTGAGTGTGTGTCTACACGCACGTGTGTCCATGTTACAGTGTGTGCTAATATGCCTACAATAACTGTGTGTGTGTCTGTGTGTATTCCCAGTTAGTGGACTGGGATGAGCGTCCTGCCGTGTCTTAATTAAAGCAGCTGCGCTGCAGTGAAACAGTCGGGACCACGACCCAGAACATCATCTCAGACACTGTCCTCCAGCAGAGTTTGTCCTCATGTTGCACAACGTAAAGCAGCATTAGTCACAACTGTTACACTCTATAGTGTACATTTAATCATCACAATGCAACATGCAGCTTAGTGTGTGCACGCGCTCAGACTAAATCAGATGACACACTATGGGTCTGGCCGGCAGTGGTGGAAGAACAACTCAGATCTTAAGGAACAGCAGTAATACCACAGTGCAGCAATACTCGGAGCCAGCTCGCGGCGCGACGTGCTAACAGCGCCAGAAGCTAGCAGAGTAGTGCTCACACAGGTCACTGCAGTACCCGCCACTGTGCTGCGATTCTGCACGAAGCAGCTTCTCCCTAAACGTGGGGCAAACCAGTCCTCAACACTTGGTTGTTTAGGGGTCGTTCATTTCCACCCGCACACACAGCTCTGTGCGTGTTGGCAGCAGAGGAGTCACTGGACAGCTCTACCCACAATGCCTTGTGTCTGTAGATGCTGAATGGTAAGGGTTGGAGGTACGGAGTCTATCTCATGTGCGACATAACACGCACACACATAAGCAGACGCGCTTGTGTGTGTGTTGTGACTATGTATTCCTTCTGACATGTACAAACATAGATGTACTGTGTGCATGTGTGTGTGTTCTTGTGTCGCTACACACTGCGAGGATCAGTTTGAGTTGTTTACCACTGTTGTGAGGACACTACTACATTGTGAGGACGTCCTCACAAAGACAGAAGTGCAACCGTGTGTCTGTGCTCGTATCATACATGGACTGTGTATCAGCCTGTGTTGTGGATTTGGTACAGAGCCCCCTCCTAAACCCCGCACCCCCACCCCCAACCTCCTCTGGGGTCACTAGCTCCCACCGCTGTGACCTGGCCAATCACAGCTGGGTGCTGTGACGGACAGCTCGCTCCAGGTACATGGACGGGTTAGATGGCAGGTGTGACCTTAGCGTTAACAAAAGACTGTGATTGGTCCTACATAAAATTAGGACTTAAAGAAGTTTGTTTTACTTATAATCACAATTTTCAGATTAAGCATCAATTCCTAAAATCAGACTTTTGGTTAATTCTAAACTGAACTAATCCAACCAAAGCTATAGTAGTAACATTTAAGTTTACTGACAAGAGCCAGGTGGATTTGCAAAATACTGGATTGGTTCAAGATTAATCTGAGGATAAACTCTGCTCTGCTCAGCCCAGAATAAGGTCCAGGGTCTCTCTGACTGATTCCCAAGCAAGCTCCACCACTCAGAGGAGAGAGCAGCCTGCATGTTGCCTGAGAGACAAACCCCAGGGCAGCAAAAACACAAACTGGTCCCATCAGACCCAGCTTCTAACACCTGAGTTTGTGGCCGCTGGAGGATGCACAGATCTGATCTGAGGACTGTGCTCAGACTGCAGCATGTAAACCTGATTCTCTGTGTGGTGTTGATTACACAATTCACACAGTCGAGTCTCGAGTCGGAAGTGAGAGGTGAGAAAGAAGTGAGACGCCACAAAACAGAAGAAGCAGGAAAAGACAAAGCAATCAGACTGATGTCAGCTGCGTCTGTGTAGATCAACAGCACTTCACCTTTCCATCTTTTATATCTGCATACTCCTCCCAGCAAGGCCCTGGTTTCAGCAAAAGTCAATGTGCAGACACTGTGCAAGTAGGTTTACTGTGACATATTGGGACTAACTAATTTCTGAGTGTCAAAGTCACACAGAGCAGCGTTCAAGGGCCAGAAGCTTTAGAAATCTGTTAAAGAGCTTTTTCTGTAATTCAGGAAGAAAATTTCATCCTTCATTTTCCAGTGTCCTTGTGTGTTTATTGTTCATCTTCTGGGCTTAATTTTCTGACAACAAAGTGTCACTTTTCAGCAGCTCACACACAGTTCTTAAATGTCAGAGTGTCCTCGAAAGCACCACCGCAGAGCCCTGCCTTTATTTCCATTGATGAAAACACAACCAATGTGAAACATATACAGTTCCCTGACAACAAGTTAACCTTCTGTCCTAATGATGATCAAGCCAACCAACTGAAAGCTGCAGTAAAAACCCTACTAAATGGCACAGAGTTCATTCTTGACCTTGGAAACATCCTTAACTCAAGGCCCAATGAGTAACTGTTTGAGGTTTCCCCCCCCCCAGGGTCTTCACTGAGACATTTCTGAGCAAATTCCACCTGTGTGGTAGGTGCTTGAGCACTATTCAAAAGGTCAAGAATACGTTTTCATGCCCAGCTTTTAAGCCAACAAGTGCTCCAAAACATCCTTCACAAAAATACTTCATGACAACAAACTGTTTTAATGGTGACTGACATGCCGATGGAAAAAGTGAGTAAGTGGACCTTGAGTTGAGATTTGTTGGAAGTGTCTGGAAGCTGATTTTCATAGAAATGAGATGAAAGCAGAAGCAGAAGACTGAAATCGATGTGTGTGGTCCTTCTAAAATGAGACAAAAACGGTCCCGAAACACAATGTGCTGCATTCGCTGACCGCAAACAGAGAGCGGCACTAAAGACGCTCCACTTAACCTGGTAAAAAGGAGGAGGACACACACACAGAGAGCAGCAGAGACATATGAAGTTCCTACCTGTCGATGATGACGGGGTCAGAGGGCGTCTCGTTGCGGTTTCCGCAGCTCTTCTTGTCACAACACCGGCTGGAAGAGGAGAGAATACAGCGAGTCAGTAACGTCACTCCAACACAGTTTCTGTTTCGCACACATTATGCTGCATTCGGGTCCTTTTGGACTCCATCATCTTAAGCTCGGATACTAAACAACACAAACATGGACGCCTCGCTTCAGCAGAAGCCTGTCATTCACACTAGAGCTCGATAATTATTACAGACCAGGATCCCACATTAACTATGAAAAACTAATGATGAATGCATCTGTTCTGCACAGGGCCAACCCTCATCTGCACAGTCTACAGGCTGCACGTGTGTGTAGCTGACACGTGAAGGAAAAAAAAAAAAAACCTGTGAATAAAAAAAATGTGCCACTGTGAGGAGAGTCAGACGCCAGAGAACGGTGAAACAGTGGAGACCTGAGGCAGGAAGCTCCTGTTTTCACCCGCTGCTGGAAAAGTTTAGTTAGTGTGAACGAGCGCAAGATGAACGTCTTTCCTCAGGACACTGAGCTGTACAGCACAGTCCTGTCTGACGTGAGGGGGTGAAGAGAAGCTACATGATGGCGACAGATGAGAGGAGACTCCTGACTGAGTGGAAATACAGACCACAGGGCCACTGATCAATCAACTGATCACTGTCTCAGTGATCGGACTGATCTTTTTATTGCCACAGTGTCAGACACTGGGAAAACTGTCCACTGTGACTCTCCAGAATCAAAGGTGGCATCTCCAAATGTCTTGTTGTGTCCAACCAACAGATCCACAGAGACTCAGATGATTCTCAAATAAAGCACCACCAAATTCTGAATGCCCAGACTTTTATTTTGAAAACCAGCCTTCAGTGTCCAGCTGGGTCAGGTCCAAGACAAGATCACAAACAGTTGGCTAACGCACAGAGATGGAGGCTTTGGATTCCCACCCCCACCCTGCGACGACTCCGAGTGCAGTCGCCCCTGACAACCAGCCAGCCAACCAGACGGCTGCTCACCAAACAGCCGTTCAGGTAGCCAGAGGGCAAACCAGCCGGCAAACTAAATGACCGGGAGCTGGTCCACAATCTGTGGAAGCATCCAGAGTGAGGAGGGAGGAAGGGGAGCACTGGATTTCTGTTTTGGCTCTGCAGGGGCGGGTGGAGCCAAGTGAGGCTTTTGGTGTGGTGGGTCAGTTTGGCATGCTGAACGGCAGCTGGCTGAATGGAGCGCATTAATATCCATCAGAGCCACAGAGAGCAGAGACGCCTATAGGAAAAACTGCCGAGTGATGGAGTACTGAAACCTGCACGCTGTCAATGAACGCACCATGAGGGTCAGAGCTTCAGTTACTCAAGCTTGAGGCACCGGCAGCTTTTACTACCTACACCTATTGTTACTTTATACTTCCTGAGAGAAACATCCTGTTGGCTGTGAAAGCTGCAGCTGTTACTAACAAGCCCACTACATACAGTGGGTACGGAAAGTATTCAGACCCCCTTAAATGTTTCACTTTTTGTTATATTGCAGCCATATGCTAAAATCATTTAAGTTCATTTTTTTCCTCATTAATGTACACACAGCACCCCATATTGACAGAAAAACACTGAATGTTTGACACTTTAGCAGATTAAAAAAGAAAAACTGAAATATCACATGGTCATAAGTATTCAGACCCTTTGCTCAGTATTTAGTAGAAGCACCTTTTGGACCTAATACAGACATGAGTCTTTTTGGGAATGATGCAACAAGTTTTTCACACCTGCAT